TATAGTAATTTTCCAATTTACCTCTAATACTTTCTGTAATTAGTCACATCTGCACATATGAAAACGGAGACAGGTAACAAATCAATACACCATTGTTTCAAATGATCACCCTCGGCACAGCATGCGGTCAATTTTACTTGATTAGACATACTAATCTGCAAGTATTCACAAATCGAGTGTAGAAAGCTCAAAAGTTTGAGAAACATTATCCTTTATCACGCCTAATATAATATTGCTAACACAGTTCATAAACTAATCACTAGTTTCAATAGCTTGCTTCTATAGCAAACTGGTATATGAACACGGGCAAATAATTTGGTAAATATTCTCCAATTCACTTAAATATAGGCTCTTTGCAGTCTTCATCGTCAGCTAAAAGATGATTTTGTTTGTTACAGGAGAGGTAAGGGACTGAAAACATTTCGGTTTTCTCTGTCAGGCAACACATATGGGATTTCACAGCTTAACCAACGTTTCAAGGACATCAAGTTGTTTCCGTTCCAGAAATGTCCCGCGTTGCAACGTACCGACCCGTATGAATGCTTGGGTAGTCATGTTGTAAACCAATGTACATTTTTATCGCAGTAGAATTTTTGGTGGGGTAGTTTTTACCTGGTATTATATAACGTAAGACAATATGATTACAAAATATTTACTCTATAGATTTGGAGCTCTTTTTCACGAATGTTCCCCTTCATAAAAACGGTTGATTTCTCATGCGATTACATTTATTCTAGTAATTTATCTCGTATCACTCCTAATTGTATACCTAAGAGAACTAATACTTTTTGTATATTGACAACATTCGTCCCGAAATTAAAGAACTCAATTACAAATTGATTAATGGCTTAAACATGGACTGTCCATTAGGCCCAACTGTAGCTGATGTAATTTCAGCAACCGTTGAAAAAAAGCTTGTCGATCGTATTTTCCAATTCACGTTGCACCAATGTTATGCGGACCATATTTTTTTCTTACTGAGCGGGAACATTTTGAATCCCT